AGCGGCCACTGCACTCCAGTAGGGGCGGCAGAGTGAGACTCCAACTCAAAATGAAAAAAAAAAAAAAAAAGTCCTCCAATATTTGCCAATCACAACTGAGACAAAATCCACACTCCTTACTAAAGGCCTTCCTGAACTGCTTCCTGTTGCTTTACTCTCAGCCGTTCACAATTTTTCTCTCTCTATGGCATTCCTCTTTCTTTCACAAACATACCAAATTTATTATAACATCAGGGTTTTGCAGGGAGGGGGTTGAGTTGGAGTCTCACTCTGTCGCCCAGGCTGGAGTGTAGCGGCAAGCTCATGGCCACCCCAGTGTCCACCTGCTGGGCTCCGGCTATCCTTCTGCCTCAGCCTTCCAAGTAGCCGGAACTACAGGCACACACTACTAACCCGGCTAATCTTGCCAACTTGCCCGGGCTGGTCTCAAACTGGTCAGATCAGGCAGTCCCCTCACCTCAGCCTCCCAAAGTGCTGGAATTACAGGCTTGAGCTACCATACCTGGCCAAAATCAGGGTTTTTCTATTTGCTTTTTTTTTTTTCCTCCTGGAGCATTTCTCACCAGATCTTCCATAAAGCCTTTCCTGATCATCATTTAGATCTTAGGGTAAATTATATCCACCTAAAGTGCCTAATTACCAGCCTTCTCCGCCATGCATTTTCTCCATCACATCAATATAAAATATTTTTGTTTCAAATGTATTTATTTTGCTCAAGAAGTTGACTGCAAGCTCTCTGAGAGCAGGTTACCTCAAGAGCTGTGTCCTACAATAGAGCCAGCAAGACCGGGCCCAGTGGCTCAGCCGATAATCCCAGTACTTTGGGAGGCCAAAGTGAGAGGATTGCCTGAGCCCAGGGTTTCAAGACCAGCCTGGGCAACTTGGTGAGACCTCATCTCTGCAATAAATCACAAAAACTAGCCGGGTGTGATGGTGTGGGTCTGTAGTTCCAATTACTTGGAAGGCTGAGGCTGAAGGATCGCCTAAGCCCAGCAGGTGGAGGCTGTGGTGGCCATGAGCGTGCCACTGTACTCCAGCCTGGGTGACAAGAGTGAGAATCCAACTCAAAAAAAAAAAAAAATAGAGCCAGTCACATTATAAGAGTATCAGTAAATATTCATTCATTGTAGAAGGAATATATTATAAAAGTTATATTTTAAAAATTACTGTGTGGTTTAATCTGTTTTTCTAAGCCTTATTTTCAAATAGTGAATGAATTAAGTATTAAATTTTGCATGGCCTTTAATGTTGAAATATTGAGGCACACAGTCCTTTGAAATTATATTCCATGCCTATGGAATTGCTACACTGTACTATACAAATAAGTTTATAAAGCTTCATTGTAATCACATATTGACAGAGAGTGTAAAGTATGCTCCTACAACTTTTTGCCTTCCTTGATTCTCAGAATACATTTTCCACAGAGCAGAGGGTGCTAAATTGTGACATTTAAATTTCTAACTTAAAATATCATAATGAAATTTTACTTAAATGCAGAGAGAGACTTAGGAAAGGAATACACCATGGACTAAAACTCCAGGCAAATGAATATCTGGAACATAAGTAGAAGAAATGACATGCTTTCACTTCTGTGTCAGGATTTCTCAAGAGTAGCACTGTGATATTTTGGACTGGGCAATTGTTTTCAGAAAGCTATTCTAGGCATTTTAGGATATTTTAGCAGTAACCCTGGCCTCTAGCTACCAGATACCTCCCCTCCAGCTATAGCTAATGAGAAATATTTAGTAAGCTGTGACAAAAATATCTTTAGACCTTGATAAACATCCCTTGGGGAGACAGGGCAAAACCATCCCCAGTTCTATACATATAAGATATGCCATTTGTTAGAATTCCAGAATTATCATTTTTTACAGGGTGCTTTAGTCCTAGAAGTGCTGGCTCAGAGTCTTATTTTCAACCCAACGTCATGTCTCCTTCCCATGAAGGCATACCAGAATCCTTATGTGGGTGACTCTAGATTAGTGTGTCCAACCTTTTGGCTTCCCTGGACCACGTCAAGTAAACTTTTGGTTTCCCTGGCTGGGCTGCATCAAGTAAAGAGGAATTATCTTGGGCTGCATATAAATTATATAGTAGTGTATAGTATAGATTATATAATATAGTTAGTGTATAGTATAGTGTAATAAGATTTCTTTTATTTTTTATATTTTTATTTTAAAGTTAAAAAGTGAGAACAATATAGAACTGTGGGAAATTTATATACCTTGGTTTTTATAACAATAATTTATCAGTATCTGGGTTGATGGAAGTGGTTGCAATTCTTAGTGAGTTTTCAAGGTGCTCACCAGAAATGTTTGTTTGAATATTACTCTTTAAGTGCTTCTTAACTGAAAACAGCTGCTCACAAATGTCTATGCTGTCAAAAGCAATGTCATGAATAAGGCATGATTGTGAACTTCAAAAATGGAATTATGCATGAGGTCACAAAGAAAATAAATGCTAAAAAACACATGATCTTAAATGATTTTGTGGAGCCACATTACTAGATGTCCTGGGCCGCATGCTGTCTGTGTGCCATGGGTTGGACATGCCTGCGCTAGATCATGGTTGACTTACTTTCACTTTCTCAGGTACTAAAGCAAATTTTCCTTTTTTGAACAATAAGGGTAGGGCTATTCACAAACCACCAGCCTCAAAATAGAAGTGGATATGAAACCACAGGTATTTCATTGACAAATCTCTGAAAGATAAAAGCATACCTTGAGTTTTACAGATACAAAATTTCTTTTTTTGAGTCAGGATGTCATTCTGTCATCCAGGCTTGAGTGCAGTGACATGAACACAGCTCACTGCAGCCTCGACTTCCTGGACTCAGGAGCTCCTTCCACTTTAGCCTCCAGAATAGGTGGGACTGCAGGCTTGTGCCAGCACACCTAGCTAATTTTTTTGAATTTTTGTAGAGACAGGGTCTTGCTGTGTTTCTCAGGCTGTTCTTGAACTCTTGGACTCAAGCAATCCTCCTACCTTGACCTCCCATGAAGGCATGCCAGAATTCCAAAGTGCTGTGGTAACAGGCACAAGCCACCTTACCTGGCCAGGATTTCTGAGCTGAAAAGTCAGTTTTTAGCAAGTTGGGGTAACCCTAAAAGCGCTAATGACTTCCTTTTTTTTTTCTTTTTTTTTTTTTTCACAGTTACAAATTATTTAACTTGCTCTTGTTTCAGGACCTCCAGGACATACTGGCTACCCTGGGCCCCAGCCTGGCTATCCAGTCCCACCGGCCGGCTATTCACCTGCTGGCCCACCTGGCTTTCCTGTCCAAAATCAGCCAGGAGGAGCAGCAGGCATACCATGGATGCCAGCACCACCACCTCCATTAAACTGTCCACCTGGATTGGAATATTTAAGTCAGGTAATTTTAAATACATAAAATACCCATTTAAAAAACTTTGCAGCTGGGCTCGGTGGCTCAGCCTGTAATCCCGCGCCTTGGGAGGCTGAGGTGAGTGGATTGCCTGAGCCCGCGGATTCGAGACTTGCCTGGGCAACTTGGCGAGAACTCATCTCTACAATAAATCAAAATGAGCCGGGCATGGTAGCGCGCGCCTGTAGTTCCAGCTACTTGGAAGGCTGAGGCGGAAAGATCACCGGAGCCCGGCAGGTGGAGGCTGCACTCCAGTCTGGGCCGGGAACAGCGGCTACACTCCATTCTGGGCGACAGAGTGAGACTCCAACTCAAAAAAAAAAAAAAAAATGCCTTCATTTGATGTATACTTACCACTTAATTTTCTTTTTCCTGATAGATAGATCAGTTACTGGTTCATCAGCAAATTGAACTTCTGGAAGGTATGTGTTCATTGTGTTCATCATATTTCTAGATAGTGAAAAGGTTTATACAGACAAGGCACGTCAACCTCCACAAATATAACTCTCTTTTGTGGAACAGTTAAACCTGGTTATTTACAATACTGAAATAGTAAACATCAGCAATTCATTTCTAAAAACATGGGAGTCAAAAGATAACATATTATTATGCTGGGCATCTGCCGTCATGATGCAGACACTAACTTAGATGGAAGTTAATCAAAACTTACTTTTGGCTGGGCACAGCGGCTCATGCCTGTAATCCCACCGCTTTGAGAGGACTGCTTGAGTCCAGGATTTCACAACCAGCTTTGGCAGCATAGTAAGATCACATCTCTACCAAAAAAAAAAAAAAAAATGAGCCAGGCATGGTGGCACATGCCTGTAGTCCCAGGCACTTGGGTTGCTGGGGCAGAAGGATCTCCTGAACCCAGGAGGTCGAAGCTGTGGTAAGCCATGGTTGTGCCACCACACTCCAGGCTGGGGGACAGAGTGAGTTGCCAACTCAAAAAACAAACAAAAAAAAATTGTTTTTGCTCCTCTCTCTCTTTACATATCACTTTAAGTAATTCTGTCACTTTACCTGACTTCTGCTACTTCAGCTATTTTCTCCCTAATAGTGATCACCTTGAGAGTGGCACAGAGCTTTTCCAAAGCAAGTGAATTTTTTGAATTTGCATGAGAATGTTCTGGAAAATTATCGTTTATGCCCACCATTTCTCTTAGGAGTCCAGATGAACACTATACAACTTTTGTATACCAGTTTGGATGCAGGGGCACTGCAGCGTTAGAGGATGCTGACCAGTAGGGCTTAATTATTGCCTTTCTAGAAGACCACTCCTGCTTCAGCTGAATGGACCTGACGTTTCCTTGGGTTCAGTGTTCTCTGGATGAAACAGTAAATGTTTCAGGATGGCTGCCAGAGGAGTGAGACCCTGGGTGGATTTATAAAACATAGTGCATAATATCTTCTTTCTAGATATAAAGAGTGTAGTGAAAACTCTGTTAAATCCATCTTTACCTGTCTCCAAATTTGTTTTCCACTGATGGAAATTAGAGCATGAATTGTACAGAGGAATGGCTTTGGCTAAAATATATAGTTATCACCTATTACATTTAAAGTATTTATAATGTACATTATTAGGTATTTGCAATGTTCTTAAATTTTTTTTAGTTTCTCTAAGCAAATGCCTCTTTGATAATTTGTATTCTGAATTTTGCAGATGTTTATGTTATGTATGGTATATATTATTTAGGTTATAAAATCCCAAAAGACAGATACCATACATTACAGAGCACATCCTTTATATTTTTTTAGATTTATCATGAAACATAAAGTTCCAAATTACTAGTTTTTAATTCTGAGATTTTGTTTTGGGGTTTTTTTTGAGTTGGAGTCTCACTTTGTCACCTAGACTGAAGTACAGTGGCCACTCCCACCCACCGCAGCCTCGACCTGCTGGGCTCCGGCGATCCTTCCGCCTCAGCCTTTCAAGTAGCTGGAACTACATGTGCGCGCTACCACACCCGGTTAATTTTTTGATTTATTGTAGAGATGAGGTCTCGCCAAGTTGCCCAGGCGGGTCTCAAACCCGCAGGCTCAGGCAATCCACTCACCTTGGCCTCCCAAAGGTGCGGGATTACAGGCTGAGCCACCGAGCCCCGCCTGAGATTTTTCTTAAAGAGATGCCTTTTTTACTTTCTTTTTCTTCCAAATTGAAATTCTATTGTTTTCTTATTTTATGAGTTGAATAAAGAAGGTGAAGATCACTCTGTTTTTTAGCATCTGAGTATATAACAAGCACGTATATTTTTCCTCAGTTTAAAAACACAATAGATGGCTGGGCTTGGTGACTCATGCCTATAATCCCAGTAATTTGGGAGGCTGAGGTGAAATGATAGCCTGAGTCCACGGGTTCGTGATCAACCCAGGCAACTTGGCAAGACTTCATCTACAGTAAGTCAAAAAATTAGATGGGTGTGGTAGTGCATGCCTGTAGTTCCAGCTACTTGGAAGGCTGAGGCAAAAGGATCGCCAGAGCACAAGTTGAGGCTGCATTGACCGTGAGCGTGCCACTGCACTCCAGCCTGGACAACAGAGTGTGACTCTGACTCAAAATATAAAACAAAAAACACAATAGACAATAAAGAATTGTAAATAATTCCTTTGTTTTTATTTTTCAAGTAACTTGAAAGACATTTAAAGATCATGTACGCCCATGTTGTTTTACAAAAATAAGCTGGAGATTTTTTAGATTAAGCTACTTAATGAAGCTCTTAATTAAATAAGAAATACCTTCTCAAAATCAGTTTAATTTTTTCTCACCAAACATTTGACTGTGGCAGATGTTGAAGTCAAAGGTGGTTCCTATAAATGCAAAAATTCAGGGCCTGAGTTCTACCAAAGACATTTAAGGGAGTTCATGGTGATATGACTTGTGAAGGACATCTCTTCCCAACTAAAAGTGTTTCCACATAGACATTATAGACTGATTTTTGCCTCCTTTTTTTTAAATCACTCATTTTGGTGAGCCTTCTGACATCTATGACCATGTTATTGAGGGCTATGGGCAAGAGGGAACATTCGTTGCTCCTTTCTAGCTTTAAATGGGAAGAGGTTTCCAATGTGTGACTCAATATGGAAATCCCATTGATAAGTTACCATGTGGGTGTCAGCATTTAGCATCCCTCTGTTTCCTCCATGAAGACATTAGCCCATTTAAGGTTGAGTTCACTTAAGATGCCGTGGTTTTAGATATTCCATGAGTTGAAGCCTGATTGACAAGCACCCTTTGTCCTTGTCTAATACCCATCTCTCACTTCCAAACAACTGCTGTTGAGGCCGTGGTTTAGATATTCCACGGGTTGAAGCCTGATTGACAAGCACCCTTTGTCCTTGTCTAATACCCATCTCTCACTTCCAAACAACTGCTGATGAGCTAAATAGGGGTGCCATGAACTCAATGTGATGTTCTAATTCACCTTCCATTCTCCCTTCTTTTTTATTTTATTTTATTTTTTTGAGATAGAGTCTCACTCTGTTGCCCAGACTGGAATGCAGTGGCCACTCCCGGCCACTGCAGCCTCGACCCATTGGGCTGCGGCGATCCTTCCGCCTCAGCCTTCCGAGTAGCCGGAATTACAGGTGTGCACTACCACGCCCGGCTGGTTTTTTTTTGATTTATTGTAGAGATGAGGTCTTGCCAAGTTGCCCAGGCGGGTCACGAACCCGCGGGCTCAGGCAATCCACTCACCTCAGCCTCCCAAGGTGCGGGATTACAGGCTGAGCCACTGAGCCCAGCTCAAGTATGACTTCTAAAGCAAAATCTTTAATAAAATATTTCATAATGTATAAACAGCAATCATTTTATATTTCCTTCCATAATGCATGAAAAACATACTGAATAAGTGGACATTTTACCCATACACTCAGCACCATTGTGTCCATCTTCAGCATTGCCCCAAACTCAAAGGTAAAGTCTCTCTTTTTGCAGGATTGTATGGATTAGGAAGATCTGATTTGTTTTCTTTTCCTTGTTTCACATAATGATTCTTAATTTTTCCATACATGAATAGTCTCTTTCTCCTTTTCTTTTGCCATTTTTCTCAGTCTGTGTCATTTATACACACATTTTCTTTTCCATCTACTTAGTCTACACGGAGCATCATCTAAAACCGGTATACCTAGATGTTATAATATTAATGTCTTAGGTAGATTCTGTATTTTTTAACATAAAGGTAATTATGATTTCCTCTTATGTTTTTAGTCTTAACAGGTTTTGAAACTAATAACAAATATGAAATTAAGAACAGCCTCGGACAGAGGGTTTACTTTGCAGCAGAAGATAATGATTTCTGTACCCGAAATTGCTGTGGGCCAGCTAGACCTTTTACCATGAAGATTCTTGATAATATGGGTCGAGAAGTCATGACACTGAGTAGACCTCTAAGATGTAGTAGCTGTTGTTGCCCCTGCTGTCTTCAGGAGGTCTGTGAGCAATTACCAGAGCACTTTTTAAAGTAGTTCAGCAAGAATTTTTAACCTTTCATTGAACCTAGACATTATGATTATTATTACATTTACATGTATTCTTTTGCCTTTTCAGATAGAAATTCAAGCTCCTCCTGGTATACCAGTAGGTTATGTTTCTCAGACATGGCACCCATGTCTGCCAAAGTTTACAATTCAAAATGAGAAAAGAGAGGATGTACTTAAAATTAGTGGTCCGTGTATCGTGTGCAGCTGTTGTTCTGATGTTGATTTTGAGGTAAGAGATATCATAATGTTTACAGGATTCATTTCACAGGATGTTATGAATATATTTAAAAAGTATTGTGACCAGGCATGGTAGCTCATGCCTGCAACGCCAGCATTTTGGTAGGCAGAAGCAAAAGGATTGCCTAAGCCTGGGGGTTCGAGACCAGCCTGGGCAACTTGGTGAGACCTCATCTCTACAATAAATCAAAAAATCAGCTGGACGTGGTGGCGCGCACCTATAGTTCCAGCTACCTGAAAGGCTGAGGTGGAAGGATCGCCTGAGCCCAGGAGGTCGAGGCTGCTGCGACTACGAGTGTGCCACTGCACTCCAGCCTGAATAACTGAGTGAGACTCCAACTCAAAAAAAGAAACTATTGTGTACTGTTATCTCAAGAGGAAGATAATATCCTATATTTAACTTTGGTCAGAGTGGTGTTGTCATACTAACTAAAGATCAGAGTTGATTATAGTAAATAGAAAAAAAAAGAAATAGGGCTGTGTAGTCAAATACACAAAACATTTAAACATGGTAGTTTCTATATGATGGTGTCGTATATTACCTACTTTAAATAGAGCATTAACCTTGTCATCTAAGTTTGATTATCAAATCATATGGCTCCTTCCTTAATCTGAATACAGGCTGCCAATGCTCTAGGCCATGTTCAGAAGGTCTGACATCTTTGAGTTTCTATAAAAAGCCCAGTTATGCAAAGATAGTTTTTGAGAAAGTTGATATAATAGGTACTACCCAGCTGCACTTCTTGTAGTCTTATGCTTATATTAGATTAGGTCATTGGGAGCCACAACATATTCATATATTAACTACATGATAGAGTTTAATTACAGCAGTTCCCCAACAGATGCCCTAACCTTACAACCCAAATTTTTTTAGCTGCAAGTATTTAGGATCAAGAGATTTTATAACTTAATCCTGATTTCTTGCTTCTCCTGGAAAATCAGAAAATCAAATAAACTGGGCCCACCTTTCCACAGAAGGGGCAAAAATTGGCTGAAGTTGAGGAGGGTTGCCCTCTTTTTTTTTTTTTTGAGTTGGAATCTCACTCTGTCACCCAGACTCGACCTGCTGGGCTCCGGCAATCCTTCCGCCACAGCCTTCCAAGTAACCGGAATTACAGGCATGTGCTACCATGCCCGGCTGAATTTTTTGATTTATTGTAGAGATGAGGTCTCACCAAGTTGCCCAGGCAGGTCTCGAACCTGCTGGCTCAGGCAATCCACTCACCTCGGCCTCCCAAAGTGCTGGGATTACAGGCTGAGCCACCGAGCCTGGCCGGGCTGCCCTCTTATAATAAGACATTGGAAGTCTTCATGTGTCCACCATTTTGTTAAGTGGATGCCAGTGTAATCCATTGATATTATCTCCCTGCCTTATTTAATCATATGATTTCCAATTTCTCTTATACCCTACCTATATAAAAATGAGCCCTTCTCTTCATTGTCTTTATAATCTAATGACAAAGATGGACAACTCTAAGAAAAACACATGATACAGACATTTTCAAAAGGCTCTTGTAAAGGATTTGTTTAGTATATGTATGTGTGTGTAATCTGTATGTGTAAAGATTTTCTATAGAGGCATGTATGCTGATAGCTCTCCATGTAAGGGATGAAATACCTATCATAAATCCACTGCCCCTTGAAAGTAACTGCCCCTTCAAGGAACAATATGAACAGAAGTTCAACTGGCATAGATTTTATTCTTAGGAAATGACTTAAAACACTGGAGAGAATTATGCAATGTTTATATTTGATGCTAAGAAATTTAGGTTTCACCTAGCAACCTTTCTTGATGAATGACTTAAGGCATCCATTGCATGTAATAAATTAACCTTTCTTCTTTTCATCTAGAATGATATCTGGGCACTACTTGGAAGGAATTGAGAAATAATCACTTGAATCATTTTCTGTAGAGTTGATAATGAAAAGTTTGACACCTGACAGTAGGATTTATCAGTATGAGGGACCACCGAGGAGTATAGGCTTTACCAGGGTGTCACTGGGCATGAAAATTTGAAGTAAAAAAAGAGGTAAAAGCAGGAACAGGAGTCATTCTAAAGAAAGTAATAGTTCAAGAGACATTTTATAGGTGTACTGATTCATAGGTGGAACTGATTCATGGGTTTGATGTCAGGTGAAAATGAAAGAAAATTTGGAGATGGTTCTGTTATCTTACGACTCTGATGTCACAAGTTCAAGAAGCTGAACAAGTAATGATACCACTACCAAATTAAGAATATTGGAAGAGGAACATTTGATTTGTGGGAAGCTAATGATTTGTATTTGGGTCATGTTGAATTTTAGTTATGTAGAGGAAAAGAAGGAGAATTTTCAGCATACGGGTAGTAGTTGAATCTGTAAGGAGATTTTTTTCCAATGATGAGTAGGAGAAAACCAAGTTGACCTTCTATCTAATATAGATGATAACAAAATCTGTGTTTTCTTCTAGGGCTCTTGGTGGGGGAAAAAATGTGGCCACATGAAACTGACACAGCAATTCAGTCCTGTCTATGAGTTTAAAGTCTGAATTCATGCCACTATTGTGATTCAGGAATCGCAAAACATAAAAATTGATTCTGAATGGTGATATAGATGGCAGTGTCAGTGCAAAAGAGATTAATCACCAAGGGTACCCTGTATTCCTGCACAAAAATCCTGTCTTCACATGAGAGGATTTTAAAATTACATACAGTTTGAATAGCCCTTTTCTGAAATGCTTGGGGCCAGAAGTGTTTCTAATTTTAGATTGCTTTAGATTTTGAAAACTTTGTATCATACTTACTGGTTGAGCATCCCAAATCTGAAATCTGAAATGCTCCAAAGAGCGTTTTCTTTGGGCCTCATATCAGCATTCAAAAAATTTTAGATTTTGGAGAATTTTAGATTTCAGATTTTCTGATCAGGGAAGCCCAACCTATAAAATTTTAGAAACTAATCCACCAACCAAAGTCAACAGATGCTGCATATAATAGAACAATCTGAGACCAATTATAAAAGAAATACCAAAATAAACATTAAAGATACAAAAGAAGTGGGGGGAAAGGCCATAAGGGAAAAATAAGACTATAAATAAAGGACAGGAACATTTGAAGACAAGCCAAATAGACCTTTAAAAAATAAGAAACAATCATTGATAAAACTTCATTGAAAATAATGAACTGAGCCGGCTGGGTGGCTCAGTCTGTAATACCAGCGCTTTGGGAGGCTGAGGTGAGTGGATTGCCTGAACCTGCAGGTTCAATACCCGCCTGGGCAACTTGGCAAAACCTCATCTCTACAATAAACAAAATTTTAAAAAAATTAGCCAGGCGTGGTAGCGCCCGCCTGTAGTTCCGGCTACTTGGAAGGCTAAGGCAGAAGGATCGCCGGAGTGGAGCAGGTTGAGGCTGCAGTGGCTGGGAGCGGCCACTTTACTCCAGTCTGGGCAGCAGAGTGAGACTCCAACTCAAAAAAAAAGAAAGTGCAGATAGTTTTAGGTAAGAAAAAGCAAGCCGGGCTCGGTGGCTCAGCCTGTAATCCCGCGCCTTTGGGAGGCTGAGGTGAGTGGACTGCCTGACCCCACGGGTTCGAGACCCGCCTGGGCAACTTGACGAGACCTCATCTCTGCAACAAATCAAAAATGAGCCGGGCGTGGTAGCGCGCGCCTGTGGTTCCAGTTATTTGGAAGGCTGAGGCAGAAGGATCGCCGGAGCCCAGCAGGTCGAGGCTGCGGTGGCCGGGAGCAGCCACTGCACTCCAGTCTGGGCAGCAGAGTAAGACTCCAACTCAAAAAAAAAAAAAAAAAAGCAGTGACACCCAGATACAACTTAGGTTAACTGTGAACTTCAAACAATAAAGAAAATTTAAAAGTAGCAAAAGGGAGAGAGGAGAAAGGAGGTTGTCTTTACTTTAACATGCGATTTTCTGACTATTAGGGAGTTAGAACATTCTGCTCTACGTTTACTAGCTAGTTGTGTTTGCTATTTTTGCATTCCATTGCTTTTTAATCTATTGGATTGTTTACTTTTTTCTTCTCATTTTGTTCAAGCAATTTGTGTACTGGAGATACTCACCTTGCATCTTTCTCTGATATATAAATATTTTCTCATATTGCCCATATAAAAATTTTTAATTTTATATGGTCAACTAGAGCCCATAATTTTTTACTGACCCTTGACCTATATCTTTATTAGTATTTGATGCTTAACTTTCTAAAAAACAGAATATCATAAGGATCAAAGAGTATAAAAACTGGAGCCAAGTTCTTAGGTTTAAAAAACATTCCCACAAGATCTTATCTGGGGGACTTTGAACAAATTATTACACTTCTCTTTGCTTTACTTTTTTCACATAAAAATTGGTATAATAATAATACATAACTTGCAAGTTTGCTATGATGATTAAATTACATAATAATTGCAGTCTATATGCCTTGTACATACTAAATTAATACAAAGGTGTCATTAGTAAAGAAAGTGTCTTAATAGTAACCATTTATACAATCATATGTTGCACTTATTATAATATATTCCTTTGACACATACCTAGATTCTATGTGCTCTGATAAAAATGTCAGGGTTTTTTGGCATTTATAGTTACACTGTGAGATGAGTTTATGAGGTTTTTCACAATTTTTTTTAACCAATTATTGGTATTAAATGTATTATGTATTATTTGCATAATACCAATTGATTGCTTCCAAAGGTTGAAATTTTATTATAGTGGTTTTTTGTTCTTTTTTTTCTTTAATTTTAAAGATGTGGGAACTCAAAAAAAAAAAAAAGCAACAAATGTTCATTATGCAGATACCCTTGTTAATAAGTTGTGCCCCTTTCTTCCCCAGCAGAATCCCACTACTGCCAATCCCCTCACCCCCACCCCCAGCAGTTTCCCACTACTGACAATCCTTTTTTTTT